AGAGTTTCATTTTCTTTTGAAATAACTGGAAATTAGGGTGATAAATGTTGTAAATAAGGTGAAGGAAGATGAAATTCAACAACTAAAAAATTGGAGTACTATTTTAATTTCAAAGCAAACCATGCTAAGGAACTTGAAGACTTTGAAGTTCTACAATAGTTTAGAGTTGTACTTTTGCACATATTTAGGAGTTGTCTTGTTATTAGAGATAAATTGGTACTCAGTTTTCTAGAATGGTTAATTACTTAACCTTTGAATTTATCTAGTTTTCATCTACAGGTCCGCTACTTGGTTTTCACCTAGTTTTCATTAGGTTGTCTTACATAACTTGGCGATGAGTTGTCTGCCGATTTTATATTACTATCTAGGTAATATATTGCTTTTTACTTGCAACAGTAGGGATCAACTACGAATACTTAAATTTGCTAGTCAAACTTAGCTGTTACAGTTGCAGCTACTTTGTTGATTAGTCTACTATTAACTCGTGTAATACCCTTAAAAAGCAGGTGCTGTGGTCATTGTAAAATAGCTATTTTTGGGAGAATGAAGATTTTTTGCATATGATGTTTTGTGTGTTTTCTGAAGGTTTGGGTACCTAATGTATAATACAACCATGGGGAGTTATTCCCAGGGAATAGGTGTTTTTTATCCTTCTTGTTTTTTTTTACTCTAGGAATATTTGTTCAAATTACTAATACTGGGCAATCGTTCACAAGCCTTATCCAACTTTAGTTTCAGCTCCCAAACTCTCATCAAACCTATCTCAAATCAACCTCAGCGTACTCCTCCATCATTTGGTCCTTAACTAGCACATAATCCTACAAAAGCTTACTGTCCAGAATTTCCTGCATTCGAAATCCTTAAAATTCTGCAACTGGCGACTTTTTAGACTGACAAAAATTCAGCCCATCACTAAACTCTTTCAATGTACTTTCAACCCTTGGAACCAAAGACCTTCCTGCTTTGCTTCACTAAGGCCCACGGCAAACACCAACATTGTTGCGTCAAAATTGTGGGAGTTCTCATTTGTGTTACTCAGTGGACTTTCATATAGGGCCTCACATATTCCTCAGATGCTTGAAGGAAAATGCTTCATCTATTTTTGATAAGTGATGTCATGCTATTCATTATTCAATCATCCATATGCGAGAACAACAATCCACCATAAATATTATTTTCTTTGCATGATTTTTTTTGTTTTGTGATTAGCATTCTATGTATAACTACATGTTCTTTTATGGAAAAGTGTTAAATGATAGTATGTGCTTATTGTGGATGTATGGAAGCTTTTTTTGGGGATAAATGGTAATTCCTGGGACATGTTTTTTGAGATAATGTCCCCCAACTAATTATATTTTACAACACAAATAACCAAATGCACTACAATTGAGAGCTTGAATTTTTCTTATTTTATTTTTGTAGGTTCGCATTCAGGTATTACTGTTGTGAATCTTGTGATATATTAAGCATATACATACTAACAAAATAGAAGATTCATTTGGCTGATATTTGTTAGAGTGTTACTTTCCTATTGTTCTACTTCGTATTATATTGCTTTCATATTGTTCAACCTTCCTATTATGTTCTCCTTTCCTAATATTATGATTATCTTCAATATCAATCTAAGTATAAATAGGTGATAAAGTGTTGGCAACATACACCCTACATACAATATTGTTTCATGCTCTCTTTTTTTCTCTCCTCTTTTTTTCTTTCTTTTTCTTAACCCTAATATAGAATTATTCAAGTTTTAATTTGGTATCAGAGTAAGATACTTGGGTTAGTGGGCCTGGCCCCGGGAGAGTTTTTCACTCACTTAGTGGTTGGATTGGCCCAACAAACATTGAGTTGTAGTAATCTACGTGTATGACATCTGTTGTCGTCGGTGGAATCACTCAAAGTTGTAGTTTCCTGATCGTTGGTATTTTCATCAATTGTTTATCGGTTGTTGTCATCATTATTAATTGTTGTGATCATTATCGACTGGTCTGACATGCCTGAATCCTTGTTTATGTTTCTAGTGTCTGATCATTCGTGCGAATTTTAGTATTTTCAATCTAGTTTAGTGCCAGTTTAGTGATATTCAGCCTAATTTGGTGTTGGTTTAGTAGTTTCTATCTCGGTTAAGCTTTTTCAGCCCGATTTAGTACCGGTACTACGATTTTTTACACACTTTGGTGTTGGTTTAGGGGTTGTCATCCTGGTTCAATTTCGATTTAGTGTTTTCAACCCGATTTTCAGTGGTTTTTGATATAGTTTGGTGTTGGTTTTGTAGTTTTCATTCTAGTTTAATTTCGGTTTCATGTTTTCAACTTGGTTTAGTGTTGGATAGTGGTTTTCAGCATAATTTGGTGTTAGTTTAGTGGCTTTCATCATGATTCAATTCTAACTCGGCGTTTTCAGTCTAGTTCAATGCCAATTTTGGAGTCTTCATCCCAATTCAATATTGGTTTTATGGTTTTTAGCACTAGTTTAGCCCTTTTTAGGTTGATTCAACTTTGGTTCTACTTGGATTACCCTTTTTTCGATTGTTGCAATTTAATTGTTGTTGCCTATGGTTTGTTGGTCTAAATTTTGTTTCGAAACGGTTGAAACTACTGAAACATTTTTCGTTTTCAAGGGGATCGAAACGAATCAGTAATGAAATCAAAATTATAATGTTTCGAGGTGTTTCATAATGTTTTGAGGTATTTTGTATTGTTTTAGTGTAGTTGTAGAATTGTTTTGGAATATTTCAAGATACTTTGATATATTTTGACCAATGTTTTGAAAAAATAATTCTTAAATTTTTTATTTTTTTCATTATGTTTCCGAAATGGGGCGAAAAGTTTCCGAAACATGTAGAAATGTTTTCGTTTCCTAGGTGACCAAAACAATGCACCGATGCGAAATTTTGATCCTTGGTTGTGGTGTTGTTGGTTATGTTCGTTTGTGCCAGTATTGTTGGTGGTGGTGTGTTTGTCTTTTGCTGTCATATTGTTTTTTTCCTCTTGTGTCTTCGTGGTCGTCATTTGCTATTGCTTCTTTTGGCGCGTCGTTAATTTCTTCTCCAAAAAACATCTTACGAGCATGTGATAGGAACAAATAGTTTGTTATTTGAAAGAAAAACAAATGGAGTATAAAGTAAGTAGATGCAACATCTATTGGGGAATATTTTCATCAATGCATTTCAAGTGAAGACATTTTTTCATTTTATTTGGCACTCTTATATGAGTGGGTTTAAGTTGAATTAGCTTGGGTGAAAAATTATTGCTGTAATGCAATATACCATTTTGAAAGGTTTTCATGTCATTTGAAAATAATTTTGCTGCCCCATTGATTCATTTTGACAAAAACAAATGAAATAGTTTATATATATCTTTTTTCGGATCCTGCGAAGGGCTTCGATTAATCAGGTAAAATGTTATTTTATGCTAGAGTAGATTATTTCAGGAGTTGAATATTGCCATGCCCACATGGTGGTTCACCGAGACTTAAAGCCAGAGAACCTACTTTTGGATTCCAAACGCAATGTCAAAATTGCTGACTTTGGACTCGGTAATGTCATGTGTGAAGGCCATTTTCTGAAAACAAACTGTGGAAGTCCAAATTATGCTGCTCCTGAGGTGTGGATTCAAATAGCTAAATGTATCTTGCGTTAAGCTTGTGCTATTGTGTACATCACATTTCTTCTGATTTAGGTTATATCTGAACGACTTTATGCTGGTCCTGAGGTTGATGTGTGGAGTTGTGGGGTTATCTTATACGCTCTTATGTGTGGAAGGCTTCCTTTTGATGATGATAATCTTCCTGGCCTATATGCAAAGATAAAGGTTGGCTAAATAATGTCTGCATTTTGATTTTCCCTTTAAATATCTCCTACATTTGATACTCCCTTGCAACCAGAATGGAATATATGCAGTCCCAAATCATTTGTCTGATGGTGCATGTGATTTGATTTCACGAATGCTTACTGTTGATCCTATAACCCGGATATCGATTCCTGAATTACGCCAGCATCCTTGGTTTCAATCTCATCTTCCAGCATATATTGCAGTCCACTCACTCATTGGTTTGCACAGTCCAAAACAGGTGAGTAGAATTCCTATTCATTCTGCAACATCAACAAACTTTTATTTGTCCCATCAACATTATCGAATTTCTATTCATTCTTCAACATTTTAATGTATCATAGTTGTTAGAACATCCAACCCAAAACCAATTGGTAATGGGTAGAGAGACCCCTCAAGTATATAAATTAATCTTGGTGGTCATAATTATTTGATGTGAGATGTAAGCTCTCTTAACACCCTTTCTCATATGGGTCCTAGACTTGCACGAAGGGTCAATAAACAAACAGCTATGCATACCGGCAAATTCAAATGGGAAAGAGACTAGGCCCATTGACCACATACGGTCTAGTTTTGATACCATGTTAAACCATCTACTCCAAAAGTTTAAGTATTTATACAACAACCATCTATTTCAAAAATTTAAGCTACTAGAGAGGGTGTAATCTAAATATTTATACTTCAACGCGTCCCTTCACGTGCAGACTAGATTTTGTATCTAGCACTTGAAACTTTTTTTAATAATTAAGGTAATGGCGAGATTCGAACACATGACTTGCTACTTTGTTACCATGTTAGAGTATCCAATCCAAAACAAATTGGCAATGGGTGAAGTGGCCCCTTAAATATATTAATTAACTTTGGTGATCCTAGTTATTCGATGTGGGATACAAGATCTCTTAACAATAGTATTCACACCTTGTTCCTGGTATTAGATATCAACACTCTCAATGTAACATGCAGCTTATATTTGGTGAGTATGTAATATCTAGATCAAAATTCCTTAATATGTTATCTTTTTGAGTATGCTCATACTTAAATTTATATTCCATGTGAAAATCTCCATTATGGTTAGTTAACTGTTTGGGCTCGGAACCATTAGTAGCCACCTTGTGCTGATAATGCGAAACCNATCATTTGTCTGATGGTGCATGTGATTTGATTTCACGAATGCTTACTGTTGATCCTATAACCCGGATATCGATTCCTGAATTACGCCAGCATCCTTGGTTTCAATCTCATCTTCCAGCATATATTGCAGTCCACTCACTCATTGGTTTGCACATTCCAAAACAGGTGAGTAGAATTCCTATTCATTCTGCAACATCAACAAACTTTTATTTGTCCCATCAACATTATCGAATTTCTATTCATTCTTCAACATTTTAATGTATCATAGTTGTTAGAACATCCAACCCAAAACCAATTGGTAATGGGTAGAGAGACCCCTCAAGTATATAAATTAATCTTGGTGGTCATAATTATTCGATGTGAGATGTAAGCTCTCTTAACACCCTTTCTCATATGGGTCCTAGACTTGCACGAAGGGTCAATAAACAAACAGCTATGCATACCGGCAAATTCAAATGGGAAAGAGACTAGGCCCATTGACCACATACGGTCTAGTTTTGATACCATGTTAAACCATCTACTCCAAAAGTTTAAGTATTTATACAACAACCATCTATTTCAAAAATTTAAGCTACTAGAGAGGGTGTAATCTAAATATTTATACTTCAACGCATCCCTTCACGTGCAGACTAGATTTTGTATCTAGCACTTGAAACTTTTTTAATAATTAAGGTAATGGCGAGATTCGAACACATGACTTGCTACTTTGTTACCATGTTAGAGTATCCAATCCAAAACAAATTGGCAATGGGTGAAGTGGCCCCTTAAATATATTAATTAACTTTGGTGATCCTAGTTATTCGATGTGGGATACAAGATCTCTTAACAATAGTATTCACACCTTGTTCCTGGTATTAGATATCAACACTCTCAATGTAACATGCAGCTTATATTTGGTGAGTATGTAATATCTAGATCAAAATTCCTTAATATGTTATCTTTTTGAGTATGCTCATACTTAAATTTATATTCCATGTGAAAATCTCCATTATGGTTAGTTAACTGTTTGGGCTCGGAACCATTAGTAGCCACCTTGTGCTGATAATGCGAAACCGTTAGAACTTGTTGCCTGCTCTAGCACCCTCAATTAGTAAGGAAACTGAGCAATGATATTCTTAGGTCAATTTTCTATTTTGGTTGGCTTTTTTAAGTTTCTCCTTGACTTGTTTTAGATAATTTGCAAATTGAATAAGGAGTTCAAGTCAAAGTGAGTTTACATTAATAGCAGCAAGAGATGTTTTTTGAGGAACCAAAAGTAATTACTTTTGGGTGAAAGTAATTAAATGCAACTTATGGGTCAATAGCTCCAAGCAAAATGTTGTGGGATCCAAAAGGACAATACCTTGTAAAAATACTCATTTGCCCTTATTTAAATGAAACAGAAAGTTTCATGTTAGCTGCACAAAAAGTGAGTCGTTGAATTCAAACAAATTCAATCTCTGTCAGAATCCTTTGTTTCTTCCCTAGTTTTGAGGGAAGGATCACGAGCGTAGAACAAGAAGAGTATAGTAAGAAGAGTTATATTGGCACGTATTGGAAAAAATCTATCTTTGTTTAGTCAGTACATTAGCGAAGCCTTTCCTGTTACCTCTTTTTCAAAAATCCACATCCCATTTAAGAGTGCTGTCTTATGTTGTTAAAAAAAGGAGCTGAATTGCGGACTACTCCCTTTTATTACGCCTTTTCCGTTCCCTTGGTGAGTTATTTTGTTTCCTTGTAATTAATATGTCATTTCATTGTTGGATGTATATTTTTGTTACCCTTTGCAACAACTCCATTGCAAATTTTATAGTTCCTTTAGAGCCTAAAAATGTAGTTTGAATTTTCGATACTTTTTTTTTGTGTCTCTTTGGCATTTCAGAAGTCGCACTTTTAATTGTAACTTCAAAGGCCTCTCTATAAGAACAGTGCTATAATTGGTTCTAGCAACCTGCTCAGACNATTTCAGAAGTCGCACTTTTAATTGTAACTTCAAAGGCCTCTCTATAAGAACAGTGCTATAATTGGTTCTAGCAACCTGCTCAGACATCAGTTGTTTTGAACCACTTTACTGTTTGACTGAAATCCTTCCAATTGTCACTGTAGCCCGTATTTTGGATTTTTTGTTCTCTGTTACATTGAAATAATTCTTACTTGAGAGCTTTTCAGTAGTAGCTTTTTTTGCATAAGATGATTACTCTGCATCTAGGATCTTGTGATGCTATTTTTGAGGATCATTTCATTGGTGACGGTTAAGCACCTTATCTGGTAAACAGGTGTTATGACCGCCAAGCTAATGGTAATATGCACGGCGGCAGTAAGTTGACACCATTCTTTCTTCTAAAGATGCCCTTAAACATTCTGATAATTCATACGTGGTATTTTCCTCTAATAATCAATTTGATTGGAAAGTTTGAATATCAAGAGATTCATCAAGCTATCCTTCCCTCTATGCTGGATGTGGAACCAAACTTTTACTGAAAGGTTTTCTAATATTAGGACAAAGGTAGCTAATATTGGTGAATCGATTAAGTCTTGGAAATGAGAAGTCATTCCACAACTATTGTGAATGTTCTTTCCCCGCTCTAACTTTGATCAACTAGCCTACACAGCTTTTTTTGGAGGAGGTCGAAGGGAGAACTTACTCCCGAATTTGTAATTGATGATGGTTATTTGTTGAAATGTGTCTAGCTATGCATACCTGGAGGTTCTTTAAGAAGGTTTCTAGTTGCTGAATTGCATGGAAGAGGTGGTTTTGGTAGTGATAAAACACTAAATTTGGTGAGGGAAAGGTGTTTTTGGCCAAGCATGTTGGGGGATGCATATAAACATGTTGATAGGAGTCCTACATGTCAAATTTCTAAAGGGCAGCACCTGTGTTGGGTTTTACCGCGTGCAGGAAGGGCAGTTGATTTCTTTTTTGTTGTTGATCGTTTCTCAAATATGCCTCACTATATCACATGTAAGAAGAATTTTGAAGTGACACAGCCAATCTTCTCTTTCAAGAAGTTTTTAGACAACCTATTTATTGCCGCATCAGTTGGACCAACCCAACGGTCATTTTTGACAAGTTTAAATGATTATTTTAGTTGAACAGGATTCCAGAAGGTGCTGAATTTGATGCCAAGTTTCTCACTATTGATGTAAAATGACCAAAATTCCATATTACCCACCAGAATCAACTTATCCAACCATGAAGGGGAAAACAATCTACAAATACTATTTTTTCAGTCAACTATTACATGATTAAGTGGCCTTGAAGTTCAAGCATGATTTCTGGGTCAAAATGATCACAATGGCCCTACCGACATATAGTCATGGCAACCCTTTCAACTATCTGATTTAATGTAATTGTACATTTGAAGTCTTATTATGATGCTAAGAGCCTTCTCAATCACATTTTATGGTCAAAATAAGTTTTGCTGCCAATTCAGGATCCCATGGCACAATTGTCAAAGTGCGTAAATATATCGAAACCAATTGACCATGTCAAGTTNGCTAAGAGCCTTCTCAATCACATTTTATGGTCAAAATAAGTTTTGCTGCCAATTCAGGATCTCATGGCACAATTGTCAAAGTGCGTAAATATATCGAAACCAATTGACCATGTCAAGTTCAACAGCTGCACCTGCACCATGTGTCATTGAGTTGTACATTGATACTTGGCTAAGTTTTAATGTCTGATTCNTTCAACAGCTGCACCTGCACCATGTGTCATTGAGTTGTACATTGATACTTGGCTAAGTTTTAATGTCTGATTCTGCAGCCTCACCAGGGCATGGATCGTCCCGAGATATATTTGAGATCACTTGATCATGCTCAAGAAAAGTGGACACTTGGTTTCAAGGTCATTCTTTTCCTAACTCTTTCTGAACATTCTATTAGACTATGTTTGGTAATACTAAATGCCTTTAAACTTTTTTTTTCCCTTGTACATTAACTACCCTAAACATGTTTCATCAATTTAGGCTTTATCGATTTTGCGTTATTTCCACAGTCTCAAGCATCTCCACATGAAACGATGACAGATGTTTTGAAGGTTTTTCATAGCCTGAATGTCCAATGGAAGAAGATAGGACATTACAACATGAAATGCCTCTGGATGCCTTCACTACCTAATGATTTCAAGGCTACACTTGACGATGGTTTCACCAAAATAAGACACATCTCTGGCCCAGAGCACTCTATCAAGGGTGCGAGGACGGGCACTAAATCAAACGATGCTGTCAAGTTTGAAATTCAGGTGATACATGACTCTATATCAAGTTATGTTTGAAGAATAGATAAATTTGAAAGCTGGTAAATCCCCCGGCAAGTAGGAGAATGCCTTATGTAGCATCTGTTAGTGACCACGATTATTGGTTATCGCTTTGAGGGCTTTATTTTTCCCCCACAATTTAGTTTTGGTATAANTAGTGACCACGATTATTGGTTATCGCTTTGAGGGCTTTATTTTTCCCCCACAATTAAGTTTTGGTATAATTGTAGGTCATTTTATCTTGAAAGAAATTAAGAGTTCATATCAGCTAGTTAAAATACTCAGTTATGCATGATAAATGAACTTTGAGATTTTGCTCAAATCCAGATAAACGATTAAATCTTCAGTTTTTTAGGTGAAATCCTGGCCACTGAAATCACTAAATAGATTTTTGCTGAAAGTGAAGGAGAGGAGGAAAAGCCTTCTAGAACTGATTACTTGCTATCATATTGAATATTGCTGGTTTTGTCAACCCAAATTAAACTCTGATGTAAGCAGAATCTTTTAGTGGAAGTGCTTCATTTATATAAGAGGTGTCGTCAACTTTGTCAAACAAGTTTCATATTGCGTTGTAATCTTCAATATGCTTAAACGTTATTCATGAACTAGTGATATTAAAAACGACTGAAGTATGGGACTGAGATGTTTTTTTGTTTGAAATGGAGACATTAATATTTTCGTAGTCTGCAAATGGAGACAGTAATATTTCAGTTGTCTGATTTTGCTGACTGAATGTTATATGCTTAAAGCACTTGCGCCGTTCTGGGGGAGTCTTCCCATTGAATATTCTCTTTTTCGTGACTATTTGCTTTAGTAAATTTTTATGTTATACTTTAACATGCCTATTATTTCAACAGCTTTATAAAGCCCCCGGAGAATTGCATGTACTTGATTTGCAAAGAATTCATGGCCCTCCCTTTCTCTTTCTGGAAATATGTGCTGCATTTTTTGCTCTGGTAGTGGCATAGCTTCAATCGAGTGGGCACGGAAACAAGTTTTGGCACTAATCTCCAGTTAGCCGCTGTATAATTTCTGTTACAATTTAGATAATTCTGTTGGGCTTGAAGACTTTTGTTTCTAATTTTTTGCCCAAAATAAAATATATGTATGTTAACGTTACAACGAAAAGCTATTGACGTTACTACGTCTCCAATGCTAAGCAAACAAATGTAGATTCCAGTGCCTTGTTGCAATAAACTGCAGCTTTGTGGTTGTTATACAAGCATACAATCAGATGTATGATCTTGATGGAGTGGCTGCTCTTAATTCAAGGATGAAATGTCGACATGCTGTGTCTAATTAGAATGACATTTTTAGCCTGGGAAAGTTTTAGCCTATGGCTATGAACTATGTTATCTATGGCACAAGAAGCAATGAATTACGCAGGATATTCTTTTTATTGTACAGATTCTGGCAGCATTTGAGTGATCATTGTCATCATACCCTTGATTATTATTTTTTCTCTGAAGTTTTTTGTTTCTTTTTTCAACTTGGCGACGTATGTCAAGAACTTTGCGAAAAAAATTGCATGGATGTGATACTCTACAAAATTTTGGCTGATTAGTTGGATTAAGCTAGCTAGATGATTCATAAAGCATGCGAGATTTCCAACCGGGAGACAAGCCATATGATTCTATACGATACGCATTAGGTGGGTGTGATGAATTGTGTGGACTTGCAAGTTCAAAAGGTCGTGTTATTTGTTTTAGTGTTTGGTGGTGACAGGCAGCCCTTTGTTATGTGTTTTGTGATGTTGTGTTATTTTGACAAAACTCAAAAGGTTGCACTTTATCCTACAGATAATCGCAGGATATACTTGTAGGGAGTGTTTGAATATCCGTGAGAGGATGGATTTGAATCTAAATTCAATACAAAATAGTCCGGGTTAATTCACTCATATACCATCCTATTCTTGTTTTGGATGAAAAATATTTGTTTTGTGGGCCTCATTTACATGTCCAAATGAAAGATGGTAAAATGACTATTGCAAATTCAATCCTATGCCAACTTTGGATGGGTATGGTGCCAAAATTGTTTAGGATTTGTAGATGCTTGAAAATAGTCGTGTAATAAAAAAATGAAGTTCGTAAAATAAATTGTACTATTGTTATGCAATAAAATTCTGATTTATGCGGTAATGTTTATGTAAAACCCAACAAAAAAAAATAAAAATATATATATATATATATATATATATATATAATTATTAAAAAAAAAATCCTAATTAAAGGGGTAAAATAATAATTAATTGTTAAATTATTGGTCAAAAATATAATTTTTTTAAAAAAATAAGAATAATAAATTTATATATATATATAAGTGGAAGACTTTGTCTTCCACTTTTTTGGTTTTGTTGTGGAGAGACGGTGAGATAGAGTGAGAGAGAGAAAGGTGAGTGTTTATTTTTTTTATTTTTCTCTTTTCTGTTTCCTCAGATCTATAAAGATTGGACCGTTTAATCGCTTCAGGTCAAAAACTAAAGTTGCTCTAATCAGCGAAAGCTACGCAACCACACTAAATATCGTATTTTTCTCCGAAAAAATATCAAAACCGATAATCTAGACAAAAAACTTAGGAAGCTAAATTTGGGCTTCCTTGGCGTTNTCAGCGAAAGCTACGCAACCACACTAAATATCGTATTTTTCTCCGAAAGAATATCAAAGCCGATAATCTAGACAAAAAACTTAGGAAGCTAAATTTGGGCTTTCTTGGCGCTCTAGTAAGTGGGTTCACGCTACGAGAGGTAAGGTTTCCCCTATTTAGATTTAATTTCAACTTAAAATATGACATATNTTGGCGTTCTAGTAAGTGGGTTCACGCTACGAGAGGTAAGGTTTCCCCTATTTAGATTTAATTTCAACTTAAAATATGACATATGGAATGAATAGACTATGAGTGAATATCACATGTTAGATCTTGACTAGTGTGACTAGTGAGTCAAATATAAGATTTATAATTAACCTTGCGACTAATAAAATTCTATTGTGATTAACTTGGTGTAAGTTAATGTTAGTGGTTTAAAGCATGTTATTTGTATATTAGCATTACTTTATATTTTAATGGCAGATCAAGTTTAATAAAATTATTAACTTGTTACGTGATTATGAAATAATATGCATGTTAAATGATTATTTAACATATAATTATTTTGGTAGACTTGTGCTTATGTTTATATAATTAATAAACATGTTGTCATGTTGTAAGTCATAGCATGCTAGTTGTGTAAATTGATGTGCTCTTTAGGTGTTTAATTAAATGCCTAGGTGAATACAAATATGTTAGTTGAGTTGATTATCTTACATAACATGCTTGATATCGTGTTAAAATGTCATTATATTGTATTCATTATGTAATGGACATTGTATTGCATTATGCATGGGTTGCACTACATTCATGGGCATTAACATGGGTGGGAGTGTATGCATGATATGAAATCAATCACCACGTAGGTGGTTGATCGTGGATTCGGAAAAGTCGCACCAAGGTTCGGCTGAGTCGTACAGGAAATTAAATGGATAAATGTGTTAGGGATAACAAGAAGGGCTAAATTCTCTCTTGGGTGCAAGACCCACTTACTTGGTTTATACATTTTTCGGCCGTGAAATTCTAAAAAAGTATAACGGTGAAAACGGAGCAGCAGGGGGGATGCCCTGAAGATCCGTTGATGGTTGGTGTCCCATTGGTGTAATACCATAAATCATCTCCCCACAAAGACACAAGAAAATGAATTAATTAGTCATTGAGTGTACATAACACCAATTATGGGGCTTGGAATGCCCGGATACATACGCATGACATTGCATGTGTTATGAAAGCTCAGGATGGGGCTCGGGATTTGAATGATTGTTAGGTATAATAGACATATTTGAATGATTGTTGCATGTGACATTCCATATGCATTTAAGTTGAGAGGTATTCTCTATAGGAGTTACTTTATTGAGCGTTGACTCACCCTTTATGGGAACATTTTTCAGGTGTTGCACAGGTGTCCACCGAAGGTGAGGCCATGTGCCCGCTTTGACAACAGAGCCGGTCTATGGCTCTTATTTTGATATTGTAGTCCCTTGTTTATACTTACTTTTGGCCTTGTATAATTTTTGTAACAAACATTTGTTTATATTTACAAAGGCATGTATATGAGACTCTTTTGGACATTTATTCTTTTACGAATAAATGTATATACTGATGATGATTATGGTAGTATTCGAGACTATACAATTGTGAATAGATGGATAAATCCGGTGTGGTCAATATTGTACAGGTTGCTTTTTTTGGGTAGAGCTTCTCGTATAAAGTAGATTTTGCCCAAATTTTGTTAAGTTATGGATCCCGAGAAATGGGGCATAACGGTATAGTATCGAATTACACGATATCCACCAGTATTCTGCGGATCGATGAATGATCAATCGGATAATTACAGACACTCGAATTTTAGGGTGTCACAGTTTAGACCCTTTTTTAACAACACAACCTTCTACACAATTTTTTTTACCGTAAAAAAAAAAAAAAAAAAAAAGAGAGAATAATAAATAGCCGCCTAAATTTTGTCTTATAGAAACTAGAGATCCTCCCAAACAAAAAAAAGGCAATAGGGTTAATGTTTTTAATAGGACTAAATACATATGAAAAATGTTATTTATATCTAAAAATTTGACATAATTTGTTGACCTAATGACGTAACTTCATTAAAACTATTGGATTAACATCAAGTTCTAATGTTTGATAGAGTCCATAGTCTTGAAACTATTGGATTAACATCAAGTTCTAATGTTTGATAGAGTCCATAGTCAATCCAAAGATCATAGTGAATTAGGTCAACAAATTAAATCAGTAAATTAAATTTCAATAACATTACTCACTACAGATATATGCCTTGCATATGTCGATACGAATCAAACTATAGATGACAAAAAACCTCTTAATAAGACTTTTAGACACAACGAATTTGATACATTCAATGAATTTATCCATTTAAATTCAACCAAATTATTTTTGTCAGCATGTCTAGAGTTCCTAAGCTTATACAAACTTACGACACAGACAACAACGGAGGAAGAAAAGGGGGGGGGGGGGGGG